GCGGCTGATCCAGGTTCAATCCTGAGCACCACCAGGAGTAATTCCTGAGTGCAGGGCCAGGAGTAACGCCAAGCATCACTGGGTGTGACCCAAACAGAAAAGTAAAAGAAAGAAATTATAGAAAAGAAAGGATCCAGCTTGTTACCTCATTTTGTCACCACTCCCCACCCACCTATTCTTACATTCCTGTCCTTCCAATCCAGGCCCTTAGCCTGATGTCACTCGCCTTGCCCCTATCCTGCAGATTCTATAATCTCTGTCTGGAGCAGGTGTGTGTGTGTGTGGTGTGTGTGTGTGGGGAAAGCGTTTCCTGGGGGTGCTCGGGACTATATGGTGCTAGAGCACTGGGGTTCCTGCAGGCAAAGCATCACCCCAAGCCCTTTGCTCTGTCTCTCTAGGTTCTGACTCCCCATTCATTCATGGTTACCTTTAAAACTACAGCCAGGGGGCCAGAGAGGTAGCACAGTGGGTAGGGCGCTTGCCTGGCAAGCAAGCAAGCAAGCTAGTCACCCCAGCTTCCAATCCACCGCACCACATATGGTCCCCTGAGCCTTGCCAGGAATGAATCTTGAGTGCAGAATCAGGAGTAAGCCCTGAGCACTGATGGCTGTGGCGCCCCAACAAAGACACACACACAAAACAACCAAATATGCACCAAACAACTTCTGGGCAGGAAGCAGGGGAAAGGCAGGGCTTGCCTTGAAGAACGGGGTTATATCACCCACAATTTCATTCTACGGGGAAGCCACACAGTACCTGGGAGGTTCCACCAACGACCTGCTGAGGCTCTCCTGGGGTCTCTGTGATCCATGGGGTCCCTCTCAGGAGGCCCAGCACTAGAGTTCCAAGCATCCCTATGGGCTAGCGCCTGTGGGACCTCGTGAGGGTGGAACCCGCCTCAGGGCACAGGCGCGGGTCATATGTGCTCTTACCCCCTCTGCTTTCTCCGCCTGGTGCAAACCCAGCTGCCTGTGTCTCAGCCTGCTGTGTACACAGTGCTCCGGGACCCCCCACCCCAAGGACGGTCTCAGATTTATTTCCTCTGCAGCTAGGGCGTTTGCCTTGCACGTGGCCAATGCAGGTTCGATCCCCGGCATTCCATAGAGTCCCCTGTGCCCCCATATTGTCCAGGCCACACGACCCTCTGCCTGTTGCTCTTGGTGATGGTACCACGTTTGGGATGGGGGGACATGGTCAGTGATACTTTTTCTGGGCCACACCCAGAGGTGCTCACAGCTCGAAACTTGCCTTTTAGGTGGGAGGTGGGGTGGGGGCGTTAACCTCTGTCCTATGTGTCAGGCCCAAAGCCAGTGATCTGGGGGGGATTGAGCTTGCAGCCTCATGTCTGAAAGCCGTGTGCTCCCCCCACAGCCCTACCTCTGCTCGCCCATCTGCCTTTCCCACCAGGGACCCTCCTGCCTACCCCATACCTGCAACTTGGGCACCCCCAAGGGGCTTCCCAGTCCTTAAGGGAAAGCCCTTAGCTTCTTTCTCCATTCGACTTTTCTGGACTTTTATTTAAAACCTTTTTATTGAGGAGGCCAGAGAGATAGCACAGTGGATAAGGGCCTTTGCCTTGCACGTGTCCAACCTGAGTTCAATCCCCGTCACCCCATTTGGCGCTCCGAGCCCTGCCAAGAGGGATGCCTAAGCGCAGAACAGGGAATAAGCCCTGAGCACTGCCCGGTGTGGCCCCAAGACAAAACAACAATTTTTAATTGAATTACTGTGAATTACAAAGGTTTCGTGATTAAGTTTCAGGTGTCCAACGTGCCAACACCAACCCCTTTGCCAATGTCGACTTCCCTCCACAAATGTCCCCAATGTCCCCAGTTTCCATCTCGCTTTAAGCTTCTGGGCCTTGAAGCTGTGGTTCAAGGGCTGCAGGAGTGGCCCAAGTGGGGGAGCACAGGCCTTGCATGTGGAGGCTGCAGGCTGTACGCCCAGCACCCCACGACCTCCTATAGCATGCATGCTCCATACCCTGGGCACTGCAGTGAGGGCTGGCCACCCGCTGGCCACCCAGAGCACAGAGCCTGCAATACTCCTGGGGCTTCATGACGTTTCATTCGGTGGCCAGCAACAGTTCAACGATTTGGAAAAGGCTTTGCAAGCTGGAGGCCAGGTTTGAGCCCTGGGACCATGAGGTCTCCTGACTACTGGTTGTGACCAATCCCCCCTGCAAGCACACTGCCAGATGTGGCCTTCTATATCATAAAAAGCCCTCACATATAAACATTTTAAGGCCCAAAGAGAGATCACAGGATTACGGCACTTGCCTTGCAGGTGGCTCACCCTGGTTCAATCCCTGGCTCCGTATGTGATCTCTCGAGCTCTGCCAGGAGTGATTCCTGAGCATAGAGCACTGCTAGGTGAAGCCCCAATGGAAACCTAAAAACAAGAAGGTAAAATACTGTATTACTTAAGTTTATTATTATTTTGGTTTTTGGATCACACCCGGTGATTCTTAGGACTTCTACCTCAGTGCACTCAGGAATTACTCCTGACTGTGCTCCGGGGAACCATATGGGATGCCAGAGATTGAACCCCGGTAGGCTTTGTACAAGGCAAATGCCTTCCTGCTGTACTATTCCTCTGGCCCCTTAAATAGTTTATTATTATTATTTTTCAATTTATTTCTTTTTCCTTTTTGTTGGGTCACACCCAGCAATGCTCAGGGGTTACTCCTGGCTTTGCACTCAGGAATCACTCCTGGCGGTGCTTGGGGGACCACATGGGATGTTGGGGATCAAACCCCAGTCCGCTGCATGCAAGACAAAAGCCCTACCCACTGTGCTATCACTCTGGCCCCCCCTTAAATAGTTTGTTAAAAAAAAAAACCATAACAGTTAAAGAAAAACGTTCTGGCTTTCCTCACTTCTAGGAAAAAGGAAAAAAAAAAGGTTTTTAGGATCCATAAAAATTGTTTTAAATTGCTTTTGGAGGCCCTGGGGCCCCTGCTCAGCGGGTCTCTGCCTTTTGACACTGCAGGCGCCCAGATGGCGCGGTGCTCAGCTACCCTGCCTGGGTGATGCTCACGGGACCGGAAGCGGTGCCAGGTTCAAACCCAGGTGGGGACTGCCACCCATGTCCCACCGCGGCAGCGGCCTGAGTCCAAGAGCGGTGAAAGTGATTGAGTCCAGGGTAGCCGCATCCCTCCTCACAAGAGTTGGAAGGAAGAGGGAGAGGGGGGAAGGGAACCCCCCCAGGGCACGCGATGTGCATTTTAGCTCTTTGTCCGGCAGCTCGCCCTTTGTGAGTCAGCGCAGAAATAAATAAACGAACCGGACTTGGGGATGAGAGTGGCCATTTGAGGGGGTGACTGTCTTAGCCCTACCCCGGGACGCCCCCTGGGGCCAGGGTGCAGAGGTTGCGGGGAACACCTGGTATTCTGGGATCCCATTCGCGCCCCATCCCGCCCCTCTGAAAGGTCCCGTAAGGAAGGGAGCCCCGAGTGTGCGCGGTGCCCCCGGCTTTGCTCTCGCCTCCGCGCCCCGCAGCGCGCGTCCAGCCCCGCCGGATCTTCCCTTTGTGGCCCGGGACCCGGCGCAGGTGACCGCTGCCCTTAATTAAGGAACCCCTCATTTCCCGGTACCCAGGTTCCCCCCGCACCCAAGTGGGTGAGAGGAGCCCTGCAAAGCTTCGCATGAAGAAGCGGGGGTGGGGGGTGGGGTGGGTGGTGTCGGAGACTCAGTTTACCCGAGGCGAGGGCGCGCCTTGGTTAGCGTGGGCATCCAGCGAGGGGACAGGGCCATTGGGGTCCGACCTCTGAGGCACCTGAGACATTTTTTTCCAGGCTGACCCCCGCTCGCAAGCCGGGGGCCAGGATGCCGTGGTGTGCCCGGGCAACCTGCGCGAGCACAGGTCGCCACCCCGCCCAGCCTCACCTGTCGCGATCGGGGGCCGGGCGCCCGGTAGGTGCGGTCGGGGGACCGAGACCTCCGGGAGGGCCAGTTGCGGGGGCCTCCTTCCAGGACAGCTGGAGAGCACTCCCCCCTCCGCCCCCGGGATAATAAGCGCCTGCGTGGCCTCCCGCACCCCCTAATTTGGATCTCCAGGAATCGCCTTTGTTGTGGGCGCGCAACCACAGGCGCGGCGGCACCTGCTCCCCCGGCCGCTGCTCGCCGCGCCCCGCTGCTTCCCCGGAATCGGGGGCCCCCTCCCCCCGTCCCCGCGGCCGGGGGCGCGCGGGCAGCGTCCGCGCCAGGTGCCCGCGACCCCGCCCGCGGCGCGTGTGGTCCCCGGGCCCGCGGCGGGCGGGGGCCTGAGTCCCGGGGGGGCCCCCTCCGCCCGACCCTCCCGCGCGCCCCCCGCCCACGGAGCCGCCCCGACTCCCCGCGCTCGCGGGCGGCTCCCGCGGGAGGGGGCGCGGCCGCCCCGCGGCTCCACCCTCTCGGCGGGGCCGCGGCCATCTGGGGCCCCTGCCAGTCGCGGCGGCTCCGGGGCCCGCGCCGAGCTCGCGCAGGGCCGGGGCCGGGCCGGGTGGGCGCCGCGGCGGGCGGTGGGCGGCGGGGGTCGGGCGCTCGCGTGCGTGCCCGGGGCGGCCGGGGGCCTCGAGCCGCGCCTGGCCGCCAGCGCCCCTCGCCGCGCCGGCGTGGCGGGCAGCGGCCGGGATCGGAGGAGCCCCGGCGGCGGCGGCGGCGGCGGCGGCGGCGCGGGCCGGCGCGGTGGGCGCTCCTGACGTCCCGGGTGGGCGCCGGCGGCGGGGCTGCGCCGGGGCTCCGCGCCTCCCGCCCCTCGCCGCCAGCCCCCCGCGAGCTGGCAGGAGGAAATAGCGCGCGGCCCCTTTAAATTTACCCAGGAGCCCTGAAAGGAGCCCCAGGGGCCCCAGACAGGAATCCCCACCCCGGTCCAGCCCGCGCCGCCGAGCGAGCAGCAGCCGTCCGTGCGGCCGGCCGCCCCGTGCATGCGCCCCGCGCCCCGCGGCCCCGCGCACCGAGCGCCCCGCGCGGGCCGCCGCCCGGCCCGCGGCCCCGCGCCCCGCCGCCCCGGGGCCCCGCTCCGCAGCGCAGCGCATGGAGCCCGGCGGGGACCACCCGAGCCGGAGCGGCGGCGGCGGCGGCGGCGGCGGCGGCGGCAGGGGCGGCCCCGGGCCAGCCGCGGCCTCGGCTCGCGGCCGCCGGCAGCCGCCCGCCGGCCCGAGCGCCGGGCTGGACCCCGAGGAGGACGATGGCGGTAAGAGCGGGGGCCGGCGGCGCGGGCGGGGGCCCCGCCGTGGGGGAGGGGCGGGCTGCGGCTCGGGCCCCTCGGCCGCCGAACAAAGGGGGGGGACGCGGGCCGGGCGGCCGGGGGCGCCACCTGGCGGGCGCCGGGCGCCACGGCAGGCCCGCGGGGGAGCCCCCCGCCCGGTCCTCGGGGCCGGGGCTGGCTCGGGCCGCGGGGCTCGGGCGGATCCTGCCCCGCGGCGGCGCGGGGAAGGGCCCCGCCGCCGCCGCCGCCGCGCGCTCTGGGTGGAGGCTTGCACCGGCGGCCCCCGCCCCGCCGACTCCTGGGGGGTCCCGCGCTTCCGGCAGTTGGCGATCGGGCCGGCCGCGGGGCCCGCCGCACTGGGGGCTGCTCCCGAACTCCGCCGACCGGGGGGCCGCGCCCCTCTCGAGCCCCTGTGCACGGTCGGGGGCCCCTGGTCCCTCCCCGCGCGTTCTTCTAGGAAAGCGCACAGCTTGCGCCCTCGAGGGTCCCTCCGCCGACTTCTCTCGGGCGGTAGTTTTCAAAGGGGACGAGTTTCCCCACAAAGGCGGAGGTCCGCCCCCCAGCCCCGGTCCGCGTGTTCGATCTCGCCTCTTTTCTATTTTTTTTTTTGGGGGGGGGATGTTGAACAAATTTGGCTATAATTTGTCAGCCCTCGCGGGTCCAGCCAGCCCCCTCCGCTGGCCCTGCAGATTGTAGACCGTTCATCATTTCTCTGCTGCAGGGGCAAGGGACTTAAGGGCCGAGAAGGTTCCGTCCTGGCTGCGGGGCACCAGCCCTCACCTCCGCGCGGTCCCCCGAAACTCCCCTTCCCCTTTTGTTTTTAAAGAATCTCAGCTCCTCCCCCTTTTTCGACTCTTAAAGGGCCAGGCACCTCACGCTAGCCGGGCTGCGCGCTGGAAGGATGCTTAGAGACCATTCAGCTACCCGGTGGTTTTTTGCAGACAAAGGGACCGAGGCCCCCAGAGCGACGTGACCTGTGAAAGGTCACCGAGCAAGTTCCCGGCGAAGCCCCAACTAGAACCCTTGTGACTCTGAAGTCAGTCACCGCTTTTTCCATGAATTTTTCTTAAACCAAAACCAAACAAATCCCACAGCCTTCTTGGAGCGCTCTCTGATCCCGTCTTTTGTTCCCCGGGCCCTGGGGAGTGACCAGAACTGTCCACGTAGTCCGAGCGGCCCGGCAGAGTGTGATTCTGTGAAACACAGCCGTCGGGGGTGGCGGGGTCCCTGCTTGGCAAAAGGGAGCTTCTCTGGGCTGTGGTCTGGCCCTTCTGTGACCACCCAGCCAGAGCAGAAACTAATGAATCCCGGGAAGGGTTCCTGGGCCCTGTGGGTGGCGGCCACCCCCTGTGATGGCTCTTTAATAGCCACGTTGGTGACCCTCCTGCCTTCGCCACCCTTCGTGGTCGCCTCCCTCCGGCTCCCAGAACTTGCCTTCCCGGGAGGTGCTGACAGCCGCGGCGGGGCTCCCTCCCTTGAGCGCCTAAGTCCGGGGAGATGACTGTGCTTAGCAGCCTGGGCACCCCCAGACGGGACTCTCCCGAGGCCGTATTTCGAAGCATTTCTGGAAAAGGGGAGAAGATTTCTGGGTGGGGCCCTCCTGGCTGGCCCAGGGGCCTTGGGCGGGTGGGTCCTGTGCGCGGTCCTGGCTGTGGACAGACACCCCCTTTGTTCTTCTCGCCCCACTGGCCGCTCTGAGCTGGCTGGATCGGCCTGGGCTCCCCTGGCGTCAACCCTGCAGCTTGCTTCCAGAAGGGGGGGTGGGGGTGGCTTCCAGTGCCCCTGGGCGTTCACCTCCTGTTTTATTTTTCTGTTTGGTTCTGGTTTTGGGGAACACCCAGTGATACTCAGGGGACCATGTGGTGGTGGGGATTATTGGGGGGCGGTTTCTGGTATGCAAACGCGCTGAACCCCTGGAGTGACCTCTGGTTCCCATTTTCATCTCATTTTGTTTCTTTTCGTGGGCCACACCTGACATGTCCATGCTTTCGGGTTACTCCTGGCTCTGTGCTCAGGGGGCCATCTGGTGCTGGGGATCAAACCCAGAAGGTTTCTGCACACAAAAGCATGTGCTGTGCTCACCGAGCCATCTCTTAAGCCCTTGCAAGTCATGTTTTTCTTTTTTTTTTGGGGGGGGGCTGCACATGTTGGTTTGTATTCCAGGCATCCGTGGCTTTGTGCTCTGGGCCCACTCCTGATGGTGCTTAGGGGACCATGGGGGTGCCTGGAATTGAACCTGGGTCGAGGCCGCAGCCGTGTGCTAAGCGAGCAGCTTTACCTTGGTACCGCAGGATTTTAATTGTTTTTGGGCCACACCTGGGCGTGCTCAGGACTTCCTCCTGGCAGTGCTTGGGGGACCCAATGGGGTGCCAGGGATTGAACCCTGGGCAGCCACTTGTAAGGCAAATCCCCGACCCGTTGGATTATCCCTCTGATGCCCACTTACACGATTTTTAAAAAAATATCAGTACAGCGGTCAGGCACTTGGCCTTGCAGGCGGCCCACCTGGGTTTGATCCCTGGCACCCCATATGGTCCTCTTGAGTCTGCCAAGAAGGATCCCTGAGTGCAGAGCCGGGAGTGAGCCCTGAGCACTATGGGGTATGGCCCCCAAACAAACAAAATGTCAGCAGGAGCCCTCTGAGCGCCTGCATCCTTTGTTCTCCGCTCTTAAAGGGTCCTTGCTCCTGGCACCACACGTGGGTGGTCCCTTTTGTTGCCATCCTTCCCCTGGGGGCGAATCAGAGTCCTGGGTTCCGTTGGCCATTGAACCACTGTCTCCCTCTCCCCTTCCTCAGGGCAAGATCTGCAGCTGGAAGGGGGTGCCTTGGGGTCCTGGGGGAGTGCCCCGCTGCCCTCCTCCAGGGTCAGGGGCCCCGCAGCTTCAGGCAGGAAGTACTCGGACCACTGTGAGGCCCGGGCCTCCAGGCCTGGCAAGAGCCGCATCCCCGGCCGCGACCACCGGCGCTACTACCACGAACACTGGCGGCTGGAGTACCTGATGGACTTCAACCCTGCCCGGCACGGCATGGTGTGCATGGTGTGCGGGAGCTCCCTGGCCACGCTCAAGCTCAGCACCATCAAGAGGCACATCCGCCAGAAGCACCCCTACTCCCTGCACTGGAGCCCCCGGGAGAAGGAGGTCATCAGCAACAGCTGGGACGCCCACCTGGGGCTGGGGGCCTGTGGCGAGGCCGAGGGCCTGGGGGCCCAGGGGGCAGAGGACGAGGAGGAGGAAGAGGAGGACGAGGAGGGGGCGAGCTTCCAAGCTTGCCCATCCAAAGGGCCAGGTAACCACACCGGACATCCAGAGAGGCACTGGCCTGGGTTTGGGGGCGGGGAGGCAAACCGGGGAGAGGAGCCCCAGCTTCCAAGCGGCCTCCCTGATTTTCTGGACAAGCCTCTGCCTGTCTGGGGGGTGGGGGGAGGGGCTCTTTATTTTCGGGGTGATAGTGGGGAAGGGGTGGGGTGTCCAGAATCACAGGGGGAGTCTGGGAGGAGGAAGGAAGGTGGAAGGCAGGCCAGGGCTGGGATTTGGGCGTGCTGGGAAGGTGTGTTCAGTGGTGAGATCCAGGACTATGGTCTGGATCTGGGGGGGCTTTGAGGGGGGGGTGCAGAGTTAGAAGCTGAAGGACCGGGATAGAAGGGTCAGGCGCTGGCCCGGAGCGCCGGAGCAGGCTGTGAGGAGAGGATGGTGGGGGTCCCGGGAGGACCACCGTCTCAGTTCCTTCTCTGCCTCCAACCTTCCTGGCAGAAGCCCCAGCTGGTGGGGGTGGCTGGTGCCTTCAGTGAGGGGGTCCAGTGGCATCCCAGGGTCGCTGACGGGCACCTCAGCTCCTGGCGGGCTGGGGGCAGCAGGGCCTGGGTGCCCGGCACCTGGAGCGAGCAGAACGGATCACGGCCAGCGTCTCAGGGCTGTGACCCGCATGGCCTGCGGCGGGGCACTGCCCAGCCTACCCCTGTGCTGGCGGTGCACCCCAGCTCCCTGGGGGCTCAGAGACCCCCGTGCAGCGCCCCGCTGCAGGCCTGGGTGGGACCCAGTCCGAGACACTGTCTGAGTTTACCCAGCCCCCCACCAGCTTGTGGGGTCTGGCCAAGCCTGGCACAGGGGGCTTCTAGCTTGGGGCTGGGGTGAGGTGCAGGGGACCCCCCTCGGCCCGGTGAGGTCAGCAGGCTGAGCCCCTCTCCCTCACCCCTTCCCCAACAGACGATGACCTCGTCCCCCAGGACCTGACCAGACAGAGCCGGGAGCCCGCCCCCGCTGCCGCGGCCCCCTCCCCTCAGGATCTCAGCCCCCCAGACGTAAAGGAAGAGGCTGGCTGGGGGCCTGAGAGGCCCGAGCCTGCAGAGGAGGACGAGGAGGGCGAGAGGGTGGAGGGCCAGGGCCGGCCGCCGCCGCCGCCGCCGCGGGGCCGCGACCACCGCCACCACTACCAGGAGCGCTGGCGGCTGGACTACCTGATGGAGCTGGACGGCGGCCGGCGCGGGCTGGTGTGCATGGTGTGCGGGGGCGCGCTGGCCTCGCTCAAGATGAGCACCATCAAGCGGCACATCCGCCAGCGCCACCCGGGCTCCACGCGCCTCAGCGGGCCCGTCAAGGCCCTCGTCGCCCAGGAGTGGAGCGAGAAGGCCGCCCGCCTGCTGGCCCTGGGGCTGCCCAGCACGGCCGCAGCCTCGGAGGAGTGGGGAGGGCCGGAGGAGGAGGAGGAGGAGGAGGAGGCGGAGGCAGAGGAGGCGGAGGCAGAGGCGGAGGCAGAGGCGGAGGCGGCGGCAGCGGAGGAGGAGGAGGAGGAGGAGGCGGAGGCGGAGGCGGAGGAGGAGGAGTGGGGTGAGCGGGGTGGAGGGGGCGGGGCGACGGGTCGGGAAGGCCAGGACCCCGGGGTGACCGCGGGGGTGGCGGCTGGGCTCGGAGGCTGCGCTCCCGGGCCGGCCCGCGCCCCCCGCTCCAAGGCGGCCCTTTGTCCCTCCCCAGGCGCCGGCCCGCTGTCCCCCGGGGAGCCCTCGGAGCGGCCCGCCGAGGACGAGGACGAGGAGGACGACGGCCCCGAGCCGGGGGTCCTGGCCTTCCCGCACCTGCCGCCGCCGCCGCCGCCGCCCCCACCGCCTCCGCCGCCTCCGCCCCCGCCGCCGCCCCGCAGCCGAGAGCAGCGGCGGAACTACCAGCCGCGCTGGCGGGGCGAGTACCTGATGGACTACGACGGCAGCCGGCGCGGCCTGGTGTGCATGGTGTGCGGGGGCGCGCTGGCCACGCTCAAGGTGAGCACCATCAAGCGGCACATCCTGCAGGTGCACCCCTTCTCCATGGACTTCTCGCCCGAGGAGCGCCAGACCATCCTGGAGGCCTACGAGGAGGCCGCGCTGCGCTGCTACGGCCACGAGGGCTTCGGGCCCCCCGCCCCGGCGCCGCGAGACGGCGCCGCCGACCTCAAGGCCGCGTGTCGGGCGTAGCCGGGCCCGCGCCCCCCCGCCGCGCGGCCGCCGCCCCCCACTCCCCCCCCCCCGCTGGCCGGGCCGGCGCAGGAGGAAGCGGCTCAGCCCGCGGCAGCGGCGGCGCAGGCCCGCCCCCCTCCCCACCCCGCGTCCAGCATTTGCACCTGGGTCTCGCGGCCCCCGGCCGCGCGCAGACCGGGACTGGGGGTCTCTGAGTCAGTATTAGGGTCCAAGGGACCAGGGCGCGGCGCGGGCTTCCCTTGGTCCCGGACTAAGGGGCTTGGGGGCGGGGCCGGGGCGGGGCCTCTGGGCTGGGGGCGGGGCCTCAAGCCCGCCCCGCCCCGCCCGCCGCCGCCGCCGCCGCCGCCGCCTCCGCGGGGCGCGCACGCCCGAGCCCACATTTTGGAAAGGGATCAGCACTTTTTATTTCCTTTGCGCCTCTCCTGCTCCCAGGGCCTCTGAGTTCGCCCCGAAACTCGGCCGGGCGTTCTTGCTTCAGCGCTCCCGTCGGGCCCTGCCCGGGGCACTGGTGGTCCCGGCAGCTGGCGCCGTCTCGTCCCCGTCCCCCCTTTATATGCGCTTCTCGTTCGCAGCTCCCGGAGGGGGGGGCCCTGGGGCCTGCGACCGGGAGGGGGCCCCCCCCGCCCCCGCGATCTCCCAGGCAGGTCCGAGAGGGATGTGTAGATTCATTCTCCTGTGGAGAACAGGCGGCCCCCGGCATCAGGCCCTTTTTGCTCTTTGTACTTTATTTTGAAACTGTATTTAATGCTTTTTTCTATGAAAGGGGGCGGGGCGGGGCGCGCTGTCCCCAGTCACCCCTACGTGCAAATGTCTTATTTATTATGCGTGATATCAGAGATAAGCTGTGAGGTAGTGGAGGCAGGACCTAGGAGGAGTGAAGGCGGGGGATGAGAGGACCCCCAGCCCCCACCCCGGCGCGAAGCTCCGTGTCCCCTCGTCTCTGGCCCCCAGTGTCTGATCTCACAGTCTGGGAGTGGGGAGGTCTGCGGCGGGACTTGAGGGGGAAGGGCCCTGGCTACCGAGAGAACTAAGCGGACGCCCTTCCTTTCACCCCGGGGGGTCCCCCACTCCCCCCAGGCTCAAGTGCCTCAGGCCCAGCCCCCTTGACTCTTCCTGATCGGAATAGGATTTTGTACCACGGATTTTATAGCATTTTTATATAATTCAAGATTGTCAGAGCTGGAAAGACCCTGGAGATCAGCTAGTACCCACCAGTACCCACCCCTCTACCCCTTCACAGATAGGGAACACGAAGCCAGAAACGGTTACGATCACAGCTAGGTAAGAGCCGTGCAACTAGACTCAAGGATCTCCGCTCCCGAACCAGTGTTCTTTGCACTACAGGGCGCTGCCCGCACTGGGATGGGTTTAGCATTTCCTTTGCCCGCCAGGTCTGCGTGGGGAGGGCCCGTGCCAGGTGGGTTGTTTTTGCTGGTAGGAGCCTCCTGGGGCTGTGGACGTCACTATATGCCCCCCAGAAGTCGGGGTATCTGCGGGATGGCCCGTGGCACCGCAAACGAGGCCAGAGGGTGCAGATAGCAGGAAGGAGGGCGGGCGGCTGCCTGGCCCAGACCCTCCCTGGCCAGAACCCTGGCATTACGCTTCGGTGCTGGTGCCACCAGGCTTCAGGAAAACGCTGTGCCGGCCGTCGGTTGGCCGAGAAGCGAGTTCTCACGAACGTGCTCGAGACAGTATTAAGCGCTTGGCAACAGGGATCCCGGAGGGTGCCCGGCTAGCCACTGCCGTTCTTTTGTTTTCTCGCTTCACTCATGTTTTTCAGAATGAGTATTCTGTTCCTTTCGCTGCTCTGCCCGTTCAAAATCAGTAGGCAGATAGGGGCCACCTGTTCTAGTCCCCAGAGCCCACTGCTGAAGTTCAGGTAAGCCAGGGCAGAGGCGGGGTGGTTAGGACCCGCCCCCGCCCCGCACGCGCGGGACCCGCCGCCAGGTGGCGACGTGTCTTCGTTGAAAGGCAGCCCGAGGCGCGCCCGTGGTCCCCAGCGTGGCTGCCAGACCCGTGGCTTCTGGGGAACGTCCTAGAGATGCCAATCTTCCTTGGGCCCGCCCCCTGCAATGCGGTGGCTCTCCGAAGGCTTGAGTGCCAGAGATCTAGCAGTGCCATCTTCGTGATCCTTTGCAGCCGTGGCCTCGCAGGCCAAAGGTCAGGAGGTCATCTCAAAAGTGTGCCCCCTCCCTGCCTGGGAGATCGAACAGGTGAAGTTTCTCCATGCATTTCTTTGTTTATGGTATGCTTGCTCTTATGGCCAATATGTAAGTGTTACTCTAAATACATATTTATATACCATGTTAGTGACATTATTCAGACATTTGTATGTGTATTTGTGAAGTTGTTTGCATCAGTTATTTTTTTTTTTTAACTCAGTCTAAGTTTTATAAGGACGATATTGAATAAATCCTTTACATCCAGTTGAAGGGCGACGGCAGCTTTAGCTTTGGGGAAGAGTGACCCGCCGAGAGTTGAGGGGTCAACCAGGGCCCCCAGTTCCCTGGGGACTGCCTGTCCCACAGTGGGCTGGCTGCTGAGGCCGGCCCAGACAACAGGCCCTCGCCCCTTGCCTTGCCCGAGATCCACCCTTACTCTTATTTTCTTCCAGACACCAAATGCACAGCTTTGCTCTCCAAGTCCTCCAATCTTGGGAATCAATACCAGTATCGACTGTTAGCTGCTTTCTAAAGGCTCAAAAGTGGAGTGGGTTAGGGGGCCAGTGGAAGCCTTGTTTGGTTATTACTTTACCCAAACTGTGTATAAAGAATAAAGTTAGCAGAATGGTATCATTGGTTTTTGTTTTTTATTAATACATCAATTTTCAGTTTTACAGGAACCAAGGTCAAGCTCCATAGGTGATAGGTGCTACTGTATTTTATGTTGTACACACACGCACAGTTTCATTAGCAATTTTTCATCTAGAGGCTTTTCTTAAAAAAACTTTTTTTTCCCTCCTGTGTGGCACGGAAGAGTTGTCAAATTATCTAAACACAGCAGTAACAAAACAAGAGAGCGAGGTGAGGAGGCTTCCGGTGCAAGAAACGTCCTTGGGAGGGGAAGGCCGGGGCCCTGACTTCCTGGGAGGGCAGGAGGTGGCGGAAGAACGAGGTTCCTACTCAGACATGAAGGAGCTTCTGATCCAAAAGGGAAGGAGCTGCGCAGAGTATGGAGCAAGGCTGTCCTCCACCCATCTAACTTCCTAACTAATTTCCCTGAAAAAGCAGACGAGGTCCTCACCCCCTTCCAAGCTGCTGCAACATCACCGAGGCTCATTCCGTCTGGGCTGCGGGGGCGAGGAGTCAGAGCCCGAAGGAGCTGACTGCGCCTTTTCTCTTCATGCTGGGGCAGGAAGGGGAGAAGACACGGAACGCTCTCAAACAGGTTGCAGGCGCCCCCTCCGTCAGATGTCAGCGGGAACCGTTCTGGTGTTTTCTAAGTGCTTGGAGGCCAAAACAACACAACCTGGCCCAGCCTGCTACCTTCACCTAAAAAAACGCTCTCAAGGTGTGCCTGGAACCTGGCAAGGAACCACGCAAACAAGGCAGACCCCCGCGAGCTAGCCTCCAAGGCGGAATCACAAAACGCCCTCTCCCTACTGAGACACAAATAATCTTGCAAGCCAGCTGCTCAGCTTGGTGTCAGGGTCAGAGAATGAGCAGGTTAAGATGGGAGGAGGAGGAGGAGGAGACTGGGGGGGAGGGGAGGAAGGGCAAGGGCCTCCGCTGGGTTTGGTTCAGTTTCTGGAACTCACCCTCCCCGGACTGAGATAGGATCACAAGAACTCAATAACTGAGGAGCTCACATGCAGGTTATTATTTTGTTCTCTAACAAGTTACAGCAGTGTACAGCAGTTACAGACATTTATTTCATAATAAGAAAAGGATAACCATATTATTAATCTTGAGGGGAGCGGGGGAGGGAGGGAAGCACAGTCAGGAGTGAGTCCTCAAACTAAAGCCCAGAACTAGTGCCCAAGAGAAACGCCACCACCTTCCCCATGGTGGAGCCTGGCCAGCCCCATCGCCCAGCAGGCGGGGTGCGGGGACTTGGGGACCCTCACCCTCACCGAGAAGCATTCAGAGTTCAGAGTCCTCTCATTCAGGGGGAATCTCAGGAATAGCTGCTCGCACTGCGGGGCAGGAAGGGGAGATCGAAAGGGCGGAACAAAGGAAATAAAACCCGTGGAAAGGAACCCCACTCCTGCCCCCAATTTCTTCATAAGTTAATCATTATTTCTTAACTTAAAAAACAAGGGGAAAAACTGAGGGGAAGCTTTGTTAAGACTAGTCTTTAAAAACCGAACAGAAGAACCCAAGATCCACATGTTTTGCTCTTTCCTTTTTTCTCCGTTGCCTCCAAAATTTTTCCCCCTTTCAAGCTACAGGTCAGCTCCACCACCATTAAGGTACTGATTCATTCTAGTAATCTGATTCTATTCTTTTTAGTTTGAAGGTTTCAATTCCTTTTATAGTCCACCGATTCTTGTGCTTGATAGTGGGGCAGAGGGAAAGGAGGGGAGAAACACCAAATGAAACTAGAAAGCTTGGAAGGCGGGCTTTCACCCACACCGAGCACTTCCTTCAGAGTACAAGTAACAACATTAGAACTATTAAATGGTTTTTTAGGAACTGTTGCGTTTCGGTTTCCCGTGGGCTTATTCTGCCTTCTTTTTGGCAATTCCAGGGAGTTTTGCTTGGATCCTATTGAGAAGGGGAAAAAAGGGGAAAAAAAGTAAAAAGTAAAATATAGGCATTATGTCAAGGTTTTTATTCCATCAGTGATACTAGAAGCCCTCCTTAGCTTGCTGGAGCAATGTGAAAAACACTGTTCTGTTTAATTTTGGGGGGTCACACTCAGCAGTGGCCCAGAGCTAACCCTGTCACAGTGTTTGGGGGTCGCTCCCGGGGGCGGGTGCTAGGGGACCAGGCACTGTGGAGACCAACCCCAACCCTAGCGTGCACCGTACTAGTGCTTATTCTTAGTCAGGAGGCACGGGTGAGTGTGCACGGGGGTGAGTGTGCCTGGGCCTGTGGGGGCTGCATCAAGATTCTTTCTCTTGCTGAATTCTGTGGCCTGCCC